GTTCAAAAAGCAGGAAGAGTACCCACAGACACCCTGTTTTTCCAGTAGAGGCTCCAGTTCTTCCCCTGCAGAAGTCACTGGGGGAACTCTGAAAGTGGAGGAAGACAGCCCCCTACACACTGAGGTCCAGCTCAGGATAATGTGGGAATTGTTCAATAGCGTGGTTGTTTAGGCAGTCACCCGCTCAGCAAACATCAGGATGTTAACAGCACCTCATTAGGTTCCAGCCCTAATTATTTCTTTCCCCACAGAGAAGGAAAGTATGGTGCTGGCGCTCTGAGACATAGTCCTGGCTCAGCTTGTTCTGTGCTTGTGACCTCAGGCAAATATGTCATCTCCACCCTGCCACACAGCTCCAAGAGATAGAGCAGGGCCTTCTCTGGGCCTTCCTGAGCCCAAGGAGCACCAGCCTTGTTAATACTGCTGGCCCAAGGCCATGCCTCACAGGAACACATCGGTGATTGCATCATCTGTAAATTAAGCTTTCTTAAGAGATTAACTTTACTGAAGCAGTCTCTGTCAATGTATTCAGTAGCCAATTCCTATGCAAATTTTTGTCCAATAAAAACATACGCTTTCCGTTTAGCATAACAGCCATTTAACAATGTACACTGAGCTTTTTGTAAATCAGATTGTTGTAATTGGAGGATAATAATTTCTAAATGGGATGGGCATTTGTTTGGCATAGCAATGAAGACGCTGTTTAGGATATCCCTAGCCCATGGAAGGATGCTTAGGTTCAAATCCCAGCTCTGATTCTGATTTTAACTTTCTGCTAATGTACACCCTGGAGAACAGCAGGAGATGGTTCAAGTATGGGGGTCCCTGTCATATATGTGGGAGACCTGGACTGAATTTTAGGGATCTGACTCCAGCTTGATTGGACCTAGCTGTTGCAGGCACTTGGGTTGAGTCAGTGGATAGATCTCTTTCTTATTGTCCCTGGCTCTTTGCTTATCAAAGAAAGAATATCAAAGTACATAAATAAATAAAATGTAAATTGTTTAAAATGAATAATTTGAGCGAGACAGAGATAGGGTTTTGGTATAGTAGATAGGATGTCACTTGGATAGTTTATATCCTGTGCCAGCCGGCATGTGTGAGCTCAAATCTTGACCTAAGTCACAATTCTGGTTTCCTAGAATGATTATTTGGCTGATTATTCAGAAAATATGATTGACTTATGTTTTTATGAGTGTAAGGAAAAAGAGGCACTTTCCCATTTTTGTTGCCATGCTGTTTAATCCTCCGTCCCCATCACACGCAATGAATGAATTAGATCTGCGTCACAGTCACATTCATCTCGCTGGACCCCTGGCTTTCCTAATTAGTGCATGTGAGAAGGCAAACAGCTGTGATTTATCCTTGCAAGTTCCTTCCCTTCATCTAAGTAAAGTCAAAACTCCCTGAAAGCAGTTGACTGGCCAAGCTCTTACATTCAGTCCCACGTGTCCAGGTACCCCCTCTGCCGCCCACCCCCACACACTAGGGTGATTGTCTTATTTATTTATTTAGTTACGGACATGCTGGGTTTGGGGCTGTCAATTCCCCACATTCCACTTCTGTATTGTTCACCTGACTCTTTTCTGACCTTAGCAGAGAGCCAGGGGCATGTATATGTGGGCCTTGACTACATGCCCGAATGCGTGCAATTGCCCAACCTTGTGTATTGTTTCACCAGCAATAAAAATCCAGCAGGGAAATGAGTGCTAAAATTAGTTTGTTTGTCCTTTGACAAGATCTTCCCAGTCTGACAAAAAAAAAAAAAAAAGTTGTTTATCTAACTGGTAAGGCAGACTTTGTTATAATCAAAAGTAACTGCCTTGCTTAATGGGGTGAGAGATTGTACTGTGAAACGCTTCCACCAGATCCCCCTTGAAAGGACATTGTATCTTCTAGAAGGTTCAGCCTCTGGCAGTTACTGCATTGTAATGGGTGGGGTTTTCTCTTAGTGCTGTTTCTCAAATAGATGTGTACAGGCTGCTCCTGTACCTTGAATGCCTGCATCTGTTGGATGTGTGGGTGATGTTCCACCGTAAGATAAGTGCACAAAAATTGTTTTCCCAAATATTTCATGTATAAAGTTTTTTCAACAAGGAAAAAAAAAGTTTTTCAAACATTTAAGAAGAGAGAAAAGCTATGGCTGATGCCCTTGGAAAGGACCTTATGGCTGTGTCTTAAGGCTTCATTCATTCATGTGTTCCTTCTTTTAACAGAAATAACATTTAATACATGTACTATGACCATGGGATCATAAGAATCTTTGCCTCCGGGTCCGGTGCTGTAGCCTAGTAGCTAAAGTCTTTGCCTTGAATGCACCAGGATCTCATATGGTCTCCAGTTCTAGTCCCAGCAGCCCCACTTCTCATCCAGCTACCTGCTTGTGGCCTAGGAAAGCAGTTGAGGATGACTCAAAGCCTTAGTACTCTGTACCTGCTTGAGAGTCTCAGATGAGCTCCTGGCTCCTGGCTTTGGATCAGCACAGCTCCGACCATTGAGGTTGCTTAGGGAGTGAATCATCGGATAGAAGATCCTCCTCACTATCTCTCTTCCTCTCTATATATATTTGACTTTGCAATCAAACAAACAAACAAAAAAGAATCTTTGCTATCCAAAAAGCGCTCACTAAAGGGCAATTATACAAATTTAACTAGCACTGTAATTATGAGTTTGTTTTTCTACTGAGACTGTAATTGACATATCATAAAATCCACTATTTTTTCCTTTTCTTTCTTTTTTAAAAAGATTTATTTTATTTTAATTCAAAGTCAGATATACAAAGAAGTATACTCCCCAAGTAGCTGCAACACCCAGAGCTGCACCAGTCTGAAGCCAGGAGTCTGGAGCCTCTTGCAGATCTCCCAAGCAGGTGCAGGGTTCCAAAGCTTTGGGTCATCCTTGACTGCTTTCCCGGACCACAAGCAGGGAGCTGGATGGAAAGTGGGGCTGCCGGGATCAGATCCAGCATCCATATGGGATGCCGGCACATGCATGCAAAGGACTTTAGCCACTAGGCTACCAGGCTGGGCCCCAGTACTTTGCTTTTTGACACACAAGGTTTACCACATAAGGATTAGCACCCAGAGGGTCATTTCAAGGTACTCCTGTCCAAATTCCGTGTTGTATCTCATCAACCCAGGTGTGGGGAGAGGTCAAATGCCCTAAGACATGCTGGCAGATGCAAGCCAAGGACTTTAGCCTCTAGGCCTCCACACCAGACTCCAAATTCACCATTTTAAAGATGGATGACTGTTGAGACAGGCGTTGTGCTGCAAGGCACCCCTGCATTACTTATCAAGATGCCCAGTGGCATCCTGGCTACTCTCCTTCTGCTGTCGCTTCCTGCTAAGGTATCCATGAAGGAAGCAGATGACGGCCCAAGCACCTGGAACCCTGAAGCCATGCAGGTGACAGGTATGGAAGCCTTGTCTTCTGAGTCAGCCTAGCTCCATCCTGACTGTTTGATGGGCATTTACCAAGAGAACAAGTGAATGAAACAATCTGTCTCTCCCCCTCTCTACCATTCTATTTTTCTAACAAATAAATACATATTTTTAGTATATTCACAGTGGTTATTTATAAAGCAAGTTTTGTCAGCACAACCACAAACACTTGGTTTGACCTCCTGCAACAGCCTTTCCATTGCTTTGACACCGGATCATCTGTGACCACTGATGTTGAAATAGGAGGCTGAGGGGTCACTGAAAGTGTTTAGTTCATGCATGCATGGTCTCCCAGAAGTTGCCCTGTGGGAACATTCCTTTGTCCCATTACTGGAAGCTGTGCTTCTTACCTGAAGCATTCCTCTTCGCCCCTTGCTTACTGGTTCTGGCCAACTTCCACCGCAATACAGAATATTGTTATTCTAAGAATATCTGGAAATGGGAGAAATTTAAGGATCAGAAACCCTCAGGATATACCCCATGTATAGTGAGGCTAAAATGCCAAATGCAATAAAATGTTCTGTGAGTTGGCTGAGCTGATTCTGTATCCAGGATAGCGACTCAATGGGCTTCTTACTATACATGATTCAGCTGAAAATCTGAAATGCTTGCATCCTCAGGCACCTTACAGGGTGCTGGGGGACACAGTTTCTCTGTGCCTTCTGTTCTCAGAAGCTGAAGATCAAGACACACCACACTCCTTTATGGCATTCTGTGAAGGAACCAAGGGAAATATGAGATGCAGCTGCCTCACCTACATCGTGTAGGTGCCCAACCTCTTAAGAACGTGTCTTGTCGGTGGAGAGTCAGCCAGCTAAATGGAAAGTTCCAGGGATCTTTCCTTCCCTAAACAGCACTGATTAGTGTTGTTCACGGAGTTTTTAACAATACCCATAACAGTTCAGTAGCCAAGATGAAATGAACTATTATAGATTCTTACTGATGTTGACAACCATAGTAACGTGTTTGCTCTTATTCAAACTGTAGCACCTTTGCCACTTCCTTCTTTCACAAATGTTCATGTGGCCCTTGTAATTTTTTTCAGGTTCATTTAGATGAAAAGCCATGGACCCAGAAAAGGGACTTGCCTTTCGCAGTGAAAATGTCTCTTCTATCCTTCCTCCTTTCTTTCCTCTCTTCAAAGCTTGCCTGTTTTCTCCACTGCTCTATTCTGTAATAGTTAGGCCTATGCTTTGCTAATGACTTGTCAGTTCCATTGACATTCCTTAGGTAAAACACCTGCTTGTATAATTGCTGACATTAAAGAATGTCATGAGTCCACCTGACGGTATTGTTCTCAATGTTTCCCTTCTGCTCACAGGCTCCAGTGAGTTTGGATTAATTAAACTCAGGTCTTTTGCTTCCTTGTTTGCATGCTGGCAAGCCAGTGATCCTCTGGGCTGAATGAGTAGCTGAGTTAGCAGCAGGCTGTGATCATGGCCAGTGCCTTGGGGAAACCTCTCTCCTCCTCACATGGAGCACAAGGTTATCAATGGGGAGCTTGTGAGCTGCTCACTTTCTAACCGTGCAAATCATCATCCTCTTCTGTTTTTACAGGTACATGACCGACGGTGGGCTTGGCCTGTACACACGGCGCCTGAACCGGCTCCCTGATGGGATGGCTGTGGTGCGAGAGACACTGCAACGAAATACCTCTCTGGGCCTTGGAGATGCTGACAGGTAAGCTTGCTCCACATGAGCTTGGCTGGATGCAGAGATGATGCCAGAGTGGCCTGGGAAATGAGAGTTGTGATGCTGGGAAAGCGTATGGGGGATGCTTTAACACAATGAGTCGTAGGGCGCACTTGTGACTGTGCCTGAGGTTAGGAACTGGCACAGGAGGTAGAAGAGGGCTGCTGGGAGCTCTTGAGCCCTGCTTCTGTGTAGAGTCAATACAAGAGGTTCATTTCCATTGTTTTGACTGTTGCTGATGCGTCTTTATGGGGTCCGCAGCCCCAGAAACTGTCTTACTTCCTCTCTCATTAGGTAGCCTTCTGTGTACGCACTGTGACGCAGGGGAGGGCTGTGTGCAGAGGCAGCTCTGCTGGCCTTGGCCGCATGCTTGTCTCCGTGCTGCTCCTGTAGCCCGGTGATAGGAGGCAAAGCTTGTGGATGGGCTTTCCACACCACAGGCTGAGGAGTTGTCCTGAGAAAGGTATTGACCATGTTTCTTGCCATCACTGCCAGAAAAGAACAGAACTACAGATGACACAGCGGTAGAGAAAGAGGATTATTTGGCCTCCCAAGTTTTTCTGGTTCTTACTCTTACATGAACTGATTCTGTGACATTGAACAAGCCATTAACAAAGGGCTTTGGACCATATGATTTCTAAGATCTGTTCCAGCTCCAGTGTATTTCATTTCAGGATTTCAGTGCAGATTCCAAGTGCCCTTTGATGATCTGACTGTAAAAGAATTTTTCTGGCATACTTGACCTCTTTCCACATCTGGGTTGATGAGATACAACATGGAATTTAGATTTGAGTAGTTTGAAATGACCCTCTGGGTGCTAATCCTTACGTGGTAAACCTTGTGTGTCAAAAAGCAAAGTACTGGGGCCCAGCCTGGTAGCCTAGTGGCTAAAGTCCTTTGCATGCATGTGCCGGCATCCCATATGGATGCTGGATCTGATCCCGGCAGCCCCACTTTCCATCCAGCTCCCTGCTTGTGGCCTGGGAAAGCTTTGGAACCCTGCACCTGCTTGGGAGATCTGCAAGAGGCTCCTGGCTCCTGGCTTCAGATTGGCTCAGCACCAGCTATTGTGGCCACTTGGGAAGTGAATCAGCAGATAGAAGAGCTTCCTGTCTGTCTCTCCTCCTCTCTATATATATCTGCTGCCCAATATAAATAAATAAGTCTTAAAAAAAAAGTATTGGCGGAAGTGCAACTTCCTGCTGGGCACCTTGTGGGCCATGATTCTTTTTTTTTTTTAATTATTTTATTTTGATAATCTGTACACAGTTGATTAGAGCACAGAGGGTCAAGGGCCACAGGAAAGTAGGTAAGAACATTGTTTCCACCTTCTCTGTTTTTGTTCCTGTATCTGAGGTAAGGAGGGAGATAAAGAAAGAAGCCCCACCCAGCCTCCCACCCATCCCATGCTCCGGAAGGTGGAACAGACTCCGAGGGCAGTGCTCAAGTAGTTTTGAAAGTTCAGCAGTTCTGAATTGCTGCCAGTCTCGCCATTCCAAGCATGATAAAATCTCTCCAGAATGCACTGGCTGACATAGTCCACCTTAGAGTCTTGTTTGCCCAGATTTTCACTGCCAACACATGGCATGTTCTGTTCTCTGTCCTTTATTGTGGTACTGGGTGTCCTCTGAAGGTTCCTATGGTCTGCCATATGCTGCATGTGCACCTGGGTATGTAGGCACTGCTCCGTCTGAGCCTCTGAGGAGGCTCATCTTTGACATAAGGAGCATGCTTCTTAAGAGCTTGGTCACTTCTCTGGTTCTCTCACTTCAGAGAAATATGGCAGTACATGAAACATGCTAACATCACAGCCAGAAATGGAATTTGCTGAAGAGGACTCTTCTGTTTTGAGGGGAGGCTGGGGTGCTTGTGCTGCTGCAGAGCCCTGAGTCAGTTGTCTGGAACTTGGGATCTGGCTCAGTGTCTACTGCGGACTTGACCATGTCCTTCTTAGACTCCCTGCCATGGGTCAGGATGGTGATTTATATCAGGGATGTCAGAAGGTAGATTGTCAGAATGCTAGAGTTCTAGCCCAAATCTACTTTCTTCCTATAATTAATTTCAAAAAAAAGATACTGGTTTAAATCTTCGATAGAAACACAAGTTATTTGAAAACTGATCCTTTCACTTTTTTGGAAATTTTACTTATTTGAAAGGACAAGTGACAGAAAGAGGAGAGACAGAAATTTTCTGTCTGCTGGTTCACACCCCAAATGACTACAGTTCAGAACTGGTACAGACTATAGCCAAGAGCCAGGAATTTCATCTAGTTCTCCCACATAAGTGGAAAGGGTCCAAGTATTTTCTACTGTTTTCCCAGGCACATTTGTAGGGAGCTGGATCAGAAGCAGAGCAGCTGGGACTTGAACTGGTACTCCAACATGGGATGCCAGCTTTGCAAACAGCAGCTTAGCCTGCATGCCACAATACTGGCTTCAAAAGCTCTTTCTCAGGCATAAACTCTCTAACTAATAACTTTATAGTAAATATTATGGGACAGGGAGAAGAGTAGCAACAGCACCCCCATGGGAAATCTCTCAATTTGCTAAGTTATTTTGCTTGTGCATGCTGTCCTGTAAACATGCATAAATGCATGCTTTACAATGTGTAAGGACTTTCACAGCAGCAGAAGAATCTGTGCTCAGCAATTTAATGTAATGCTTGCCTGCACGGTTAATGGAATTATTACTACAGCTGAGCTTGTTCCTGCATTTGGAAATGAGGGGAAAAGATGGATGGCCTTGTTATTTTACTTTGGTCTTTATGGTTCAACCAAATAGACAACCGGGCCTCCGGGCCTAGCTCACACTGAAGGACTTGGTAAGCTCATGCATTTATGAATGAATGAATAACCAAATAAATTTAAGATTTATTTAATTTCATTGGAAAAGCGATTTAGAGAGAGAGGAAGGTACAGAGAAAGATCCTTTGTCTACTGGTTCCTTTCCCAGGTGGCTGCAATGGCCAGAGCCGAGCTGATCTAAAGCCCGGAGCCAGGGACCTCTTCTAGATCTCCCATGTGGGTGCAGGGTCCCAAGGCTCTGGGCCGTCCTTGACTGCTTTCCAAGGCCACAAGCAGGGAGCTGGATGGGAAGCAGAGCAGCCAAGACACAAGGCAGCACCCAAATGGGATGCTGGCACATACAAGGCAAAGACATGGACATGAATAAACCAAATTTTAAAGAAATAATTCAGGTGGCTTTTGTAAAATTACACTTCAATATTAATTGCAATTTTTTTTCCTATTTCTTAAATCACTAGCTGTGGAATTTATTTGTTTTTATTAAAAAGGAGGTGAGATAGAGCTGTCTTATGCTGATTTACTAGCCAGTGCTCACAGTGGCCAGGAGTGGATCAGGCTAAAAGCTGCGAGCTGGGGGCCTGGCACGATGGTGCAGTGGTTAAGGTCCTCGCCTTGCACGCCCGGGATCCCATATGGGCGCCGGTTCTAATCCTGGCAGCCCCCACTTCCCTCCAGCTCCATGCCTGTGGCCCGGGAGGACAGCCCAAAGCTTTGGGACCCTGCACCTGTACGGGAGACCTGGAAGAGGCTCCTGGCTTCGGATTGGCATAGCATCGGCGGTTGCGGCCGCCTGGGGAGTGAATCATCGGACGGAAGATCTTCCTCTCTGCCTCTCCTCTCTGTATATCTGCCTTTCCAATAAAAATAAAATAAATCTTAAAAAAAAAAAAAAAAAAAGCTGCGAGCTAGGACCACAAGCCAAGTCTCCTGAATGGGTGGGAGGAACTCGCTTACTTGAAGCATCCCTGTTGCCTCCTCCAGACTGTGTTAGCAGAGAACTGGAATCCAGAGTCAGCCAGTATTCAAATCAGTTACTCTGGCATGGGGTATGTGCAAGTGCCTTCACTGGTAGCTTCACCCTCAGGTTGAATTCCAGCCCCGTTTGAACTATTTTTCTTAAGTTCTGAGCTGTAGGCAAGAGATATTTTGTACTGTTCTAGTACAATGCTACTGTGAACAGACCATAGTGGTGCTTTAGCTTGGCCAAGTTGAAATAGCCGATTAGTTTTTATAAAGCACTTCATGAAGATCTCTTGTAAAAATCTGTGCTAAATAAATGTTGCCCAAAGTGGGAGACTAATGTTAGTAGTGCAGGAGCTAATTCCAGTGTGTTTTTTTAATATTCGATTTTTTTGGAAAGGTTTATGTAAAAAATGAGATACAGAGAAAGATCTTTCATCTGCTGGTTCACTCCAAATGGCTGCAATGGCCAGAGCTGAGCCGATTTAAAGCCAGGAACCAGGAGCATCTTTTGGGTCTTCCACATAAGTGCAAGGTCCACCGTGTGAGTGCAGGGTTTTATGCTTTAGCCATGCTTCACTGCTTTCCCAGTCCATCAGCTTTGAGCCGAATATGAAGTGAAACAACCAGGTCAATATGAACTAGCAGCCATATGAGATGCCAGTACTTGGGGATGGAGGATTAGTCAGTTGAACTATCACACCAACCCCAATTTCAAAGTTTATATTAAATTATATTGTAATGTTTTTTAAAGTGTATACAGTCAGCATGTCAAAGTCTTGATTTTACAAATATTCCTAATGATGAGGAGAGCATCGGCTTGAGATTATTTAATGTGAAATATGAAGGAAGGCAGTCTCAGAGGATGGGGAAAGTGGCTCAAGTCCGAGTGATATTCTCAGCTCAGCAGTGGGAACCATTCTTGACCCATTTAGACGGATGGCCAAAATTCTTCCCTTCTACCCTGATAAACACAGCTTCCAGACCTAAGGTATTTTCAGGAAATTCTGTGCAAAAACACAGCCCAGTCTTTGTGGAGTCACACATAAGCAGTGAACCACAGGCCCTTCAGGAAACAGGAAAAATACTGAGAGCTCAGACTCAAGCAAAGGGAATACAAGCTTGAGGGTGGTGATTCACAGCGGGAATAAGCAGATGATTAACCTCCTCAGCACGAAGCCCAGAGAACAGTTGCCAGTAAGGGACACTGACCTGCAGAGCGGAC